CTTTGGGGGGGGGGGGGGGGGGGGGGGGCATCCCTGTGGCAGATAATCAAACAATGTGTTGTGACTGATAAACTTGAAAAAAGAAGCGATCTACACCATAATGTGTATCTCTACTGGAAAAACTAGAGTTAAATAAGAACTCCATCCATAAAGCTATTTTTATGCGCTTCTGACTTCCCATTAAAAATTAAAGACTGCCCTCTACACTGAACTTCTCCAGCCTTGTATTCAGCCAAATATAGGACAGTCTTAGAAATTAGCTTGGGGACTTTTGTTTACCTGAGAATAACTTGGCAGATGGGTTTTTAGCTAGTTTATTATCATCAAATGTGAAATAGCTGGTTTCCTCTGTTTAAAAAATAATAAAAAATATTGCTGTGTGCACAGAGGTTACAGTCTAGCATCATAAACTGTCATACAGGTAAATCTTTAAAAAATTAAGTGCCTGAGATGGTATGAAGAAATTTGATTTATCAAAATAATTCCACTGGCAGGTCTGCAGGGGTGAATCCAGAACCATCAAAAAGAATGAACATGGCTTCATTATTTATAATTATTTAAAAATGAAAGACAGATATTTACAGTCCATGATTTCCTGTCAAAACTATTCAAATGAGATAAAAAGAATTAAATAATATACATATGAACATAGAAAAATGTGCATTAAAGTAAAATAAAAAATGTATATATTTTATGATTACATCCGGAAATATATATAACGTTTCAATTTTATGATTGTAATGTGTGCAGATGAAAGAAACAAACAAGGGCAATAATTGCATCTATTACAAAATGCACCTCCAGCATTGTAATTTAAATTTGCAATTAACTGCGTATTTCTTTACACATTTTGATTAAAATCAGTGCCGTGAGCCTACAGATGAAATTTTAACTGTGAATCTGAAAAAGCAAAGCACAGAGGCATAGCTCTCACTAACTACAGAGGCAGGAACTCTTCCAACCGCAGAGCTGCTGCTGAGCAAGGGCAGGGAGGGCCTGCGCCTCCGTAGAGTTTATCTTCTTCAGCTCCCAAGGCGATTTTGGAGAGCTCAGCTGGCAATGCTAGCAACAAGCTGCACTGGGCTTTTCATCTTCATGCATGCACGAACACATTTGCTTTCTGCAAAGCACTCGGCAGGCTGCAGATTTTTTGGTATATGAAGCTACGCAGCTACCTCTGGCACCAGTACTACAGTCAGTACAGTCAGGTTGTCTAATCAGCTCACGTAGTCTATTTTGGCTCTAGACCATGCACGCCAAAGGATAGGACTCTTTCAAGCCAAAAGACATATGAAGTATACAGAGCTTTCATGAGAAACAAAATTTAATTTCCTGGTCTTTTACCGTTTGAATTCTCTGACACAGCACTGCATCTCTATGCCTATAGCTTCCTATGCAGCAAGGTTAGAACAGTAGTGAGAGGCAAACGAACAGCACTCCTTACTCTGGGCAGCACAAATGCTGCCTGAACGCTCGGACAAGGCACTGTGCAGACCACCCGCCACCGTGACTACACGCTTTGCCACAGCAAAGGAGAGGACTTCTGCTTCATTCATTTGCAGGCAGAGCCCGCTTTATAACAAGTATCTCAGCCTACAAGATTGGGCTTCCTTTACAATTAGCTGGGAAAATCTTCACAAAGATAGTTTTGACCAACACTGTATTTATGGTAGCTTTGTAAGACCAATATATAAAACAAATATTTAGAGCCTTCGCAGCTCTGGCTCTGTAATACAAACTTTCAAGAAGGAAATTTTTTGCTCTTAATTTTACCTGTAAATAGTGGTGGGCAAAAGCCGATGCTATTTGCAGTTCTGTTTATGCTTACGTCTGTACTAAGCTACTGGAAATCACACCCTGAAGGACTAATGAGAACTATGCAAAGTGTTTCAGGTCTGCTCCGTAAATCCTCTGAATGCACTTTTATATTAAAATGGGCAAGAGCTGAAGTAGGCCACATCGGTAGGCTGGTGTTGTGTTGCCATTCCCCGCTGTATAACTGTGAAGCGCTTGCATTTGAACTAGTGCCAGATCTTCAAAGCCTCTTGAAATGGGTGAGCCAGGCAAGGAAAATATGCGCAACAGCTATCCAACCAAAACCGGGCAATTCTGAGTTAAACAAATTCCTGTTCATTTCACTATGAAATCCTGACATTGGCATCAAGCACTCTGATACAGACAGGGTCACGCCTCTTGACTCATGCTATGAGGGACTCGTATCGCTTCAGGGTCAGGTTCTCCGGTGCCGCATACCTCACGCTGAGCCACCTGTGACTACGCCAACTGCAGTGAATTGCAACTGAGGCTGGGCAGTATTTTGCAGCCATTTTACAAACTAGGCACATGGTGGCTAGGATACAGGCACAGTCACACCAGCACTGGAGGGGTCACTCTGCAGAGTCCTCTGGGAGGTTGGGTGATACGGGACATGTTGTGTCTGTCATGTTCACAACCACATTAGAAGAAGCAGCGTGGCACAAAGACGTGAACTTGGAGCCACAGAACCTGGCTTTGCATTTGATTTCCTGCTTAGCCCCGGGTGAACCACTTTATTTCTTTCAGTTACTTCCCAGACAGGGCCAGGATGGCTTCTCCGCTCTACCTTTTCCACGAGGTGAGCCGGAGGCACTAGCGACTGCTCTGCCCTTGCAGCAGGCGGAGAGCCCCGTGCAGCCGGGACTCCCCCTGGCAAACACGGTATCATGCAGCCTGCTGCGACCTCATCAGTTCTTCTGTTTCCCGTTGTATGCTCAAAACACTTAATGGAAAACATTTAGAAATCACCTCACATGGAGTGCAGGACACAGAAGGTCAATTCCCAAGGGACAAACCAAACCCAGCTACAAAGGGCTCTGCTCCACACAGAGGGGTACTCGAGGACAGGGTCCCCTGGCCCCCATCACCTCTGTCTCTGTCTCCTCACAGCCCAGCCCTGCCTGGCCATGAGCCCTGCTGAGCCGAGCCCACCTAAGGGCCCGTGGCCCGGCCTCAGCCCCAGGGCAGTGCCTGATGCCTGGGGCTGTGGCTGCCCATAGGTCCCCCAGCTCCCCCGGGGTGAGCTCCACCTGGCTGAGGTGGTGGGACGGGCCTGGCTGCCAGGCCCTGCCCTGATGGACCCCCATGGGAAGCCCCCAGCTCTGCGGCACCCCAACACTTGCAGGGAAGTACCTTGCAGCTCCCATTAATTTTACCCATAGCCAGCAGACTGACAGACACACAGCTGGTCCCAGTGCCCAGCAGGATCAAATCCCCTGCCGCCATCTTTACCCATTACACTGGGCACATGTGCAACATGATTAGCACAGGGCTCTGAAAAATGCATTTTAAAGGGAAGACTGCAGGGCAGGGGAATCTTCCTTCCAACATAATCTAAGTTTTGGGTAAACAGGTTAGCATAGATATAGAGCGGCCTGAAAAAAATTAACGAAAACCGCTCAGTGTCTGGGGTGAGCTCATCCCAGGGGTCCCACTGTCAGCCATGCAGGCAGTGGTTCTCCGAAGAAGTGTATCAGTTCCTAGACTTTCCAGCTGGCCTCATTTATTTACCTCACTAACTGGACTTGTGAATTTGGAATAATTAGGGAAACACTCCGGACTACGAAGTGTTTCTCAAAGCAAGCACCGAGTCACTGAAACAAAGATCAAAGACAGCAGTTTCAAACAGCAGAAAGAAAAGCCAGGAATAAAAAGGAAGGCTGCTTTCATCAGGACTGGGTCTTGCAGGCTGTGAGCTGCTAGCGCAACTCAAAGCGCCCATCTCAGCAGACACCTACCCAAGTCAATCGAAGCACAGCACTCACATGGTTAAAGCTATACACAGGCATCAGGACATCGATAAACAGCTTAGAATCAAAATCTTCATGCATACAGCTTATATAATACAACACATGTAAGAAATTGTGCAAACCATCACCACCTTCCCACCCGCAACCCCACCCCCCCCCCAAAAAAAAAGAGAATTTGGAAAGAGAGGGAGTGGAAGCTATCCTTTAGTATTTCTAAGCATTTAAAGCCAAATTGATGCTTCAATTGCACATTTGCTAAAGTTTAATGACATGGAATGGAATCAAAGCAATAATATTTAAATCAGCTTAAGGAAACTTGAGTCATGGGCCATTTCATCCAAATAAAAAGTACTCCAAACAGGATCCAGCTTCTGCTGGAAGCTAAAGGATGTTTGGGTATGTTGGTTAGGATGGACTTCCCTACTCACCAGAAGTATACCAAAAGTATTATGTAAAACTAGCCAGTTGCTTTTCATTCTGCAGCTTCTATTCTAGTGCACACTGGCTTTCACTAGGTACAGACCAAAACATTTCACCTAACTAAAAAACTAATGTGAACACTATGTCATCAAATCTTCTGGCACACACTCAGATATCACTGAGTTGATGGTCTGCTTATGCAAGAGAGATTAAGGGAAGGTACAAATGAGCAGACAGAGCAAAATAAATTGCCTACAGGAAAACTCACTTGCGCCAACCTCATTTTTAAGTGGGATTTAGGGGTATATTTTTGGAGGCAAAGCAAGTATGGAATCATCCCTGAAAAAATAAATTAAGTTATATAAGGAGAAATCACGAACTCTCTTTCCTCCAAGAAATGCCTCCAAAAGGTTCACCAAATCTCATGCCTGTGAGCTACATCAAGCAGCTGTCATCCTACAGCATCAACTGCAACCATTTGTAGCAGTGGATTTATGCTTCTCCTAATGTGAATCAAAAGCAGCAGAGTAAGTAAAACATCGTATTGTCCTCATTTATCTCAGATAATATAAGACAGGAGAAGAACCAAAAATAAGAAGTACCTTTTACAATTGTGTTATAATATGTACCATTTCAATTTAACTGAGCCTGACATTCAATCTTTTAATGGTTTCAGTTCCTTCATTTCTATCTTTAAAATAAAAGAAAAAGGAAATCAAATATATACCATAAACGTCTGGATCCACAATTGGGCCACTACCTGTACATGGAGAAGAGAAAAAAAAAAGAAAAAGCCTTTGTAAATAGATTGCAAATGCTGGAAGAGTAAGAGTTTCTTTAGGACTTTTTTTAAGAGTTGACATGTTATTTTCAATAGCAATGATCAGTACCTACACAAATGCAAAGCAACATCAATATACTGCAACATCTGTTTATCAGATTACATTTACAACCATTTTAGAGCTATCCCAAATTTTAATATTTTGCTTCATGTGAAACAGGTGATGCACAGGGCACTAGCTCTGGCAAAGGCAGGCATATTTCCCAACCGGGCAAAATTCTGCTTTCCGCTGCTAATGTATATCTGGAATAAGTGCAACAATAACTATTCCTGTTGAAAAATCAATGGTAAAATTCTCTCTGACCTTAAGCGGAAGCAGACTTCAGTGAGCATTAACAATCACTGACTTTTACCTGGTAAAAAATTTTGCTATTAAATCACCATGAGAGCAAACTGATTTGGCTGCGAGCTGGCAAATTAAGGGCTAGAGGTAGCAATGACCTAAGCAGCACCATTTCATTCGCTCTGTAAAAGGATGCTTCCAATATCCAGCTGCACAGCTGATACACAGACAGAACTCTTACCAAGTGTCAGATGTCTCAGAAGCCAGCCTTTACACAAGCAAATGGATACCTGTCTAGTCTACACTTTTCTAAATTTTACTAGTTCCAGTTTGCAGCTTTTTCTAATTACTGCACATATATGAGGCTGAGCACATATGTGAGTATAATGCACAGAACGCCCACTGAAACTAGCATACTATTAGACTATTCATGCTTGAAAGATACTTGTGCTGTATTTCAACATACCCGTTCATTCTGGTCTAGAATGTATTTATAGCATAGCTTATGTAGTAGGCTCCTAATCATCTCTTCCATATTCTTACTCTTTCTATTTGTTGGTTTGGAAATAAAATTAACAGATAATTAAAATCTCTGAAGATGAATCAAACTTCAAAAAGCGTAATTCTGTTTATAATACTATACAGTAAATCCACAGCAGTGGCATTACACTGGGATAAAGCCACCTTGAAGTATGACCAGAACACTGTTGTTTCTGCTTATGTCAACAGCGTGAGAATCTGTGCTGAAAATACTAAACAGAGTTGCAACCTATTTGCAGAATGGCAGCAGATAGTTAGGTTTATTCTTAAATGCATTTGAAGATATTCTACTATCCAGAGATATAGGTTAATAGACCCCATGAGAACTGTCATGTCAATCTGCAGAAATAAATAACAAGTGAAGAAAGCTTGTACTATCTGTCCTCAAGCAACTTCTGACCAGGGTTTTCTGTCCGTAAAAGTTCATGGATTCGGTTTTTCCAGTATAAAACATCCATCTGCTGAAAGACAGTATTTCTTATTTACCTTCTGTAGTATGAAGGGAAAAACAACAACAATAAAATTCCCAGGCCTTTATTCCCGAGTTAAATGGCAACATTTTTGTTACTGTTTACTGGAATTAGGATAAAGTAATCAGATTAGTTTAACCCCTAACTCCTGACGGGGATATAAACTAGGAAGTCATCAACTCCATTCAAATACCTTTTATATAACTAAACACTTCAAATAAAGTTGCAAAAATCAAGATGCTGAACGAAACCCAAATTTCTATTTAGTATTCCATACCTAAAAACATATCTCCTCGATCATCAAAACATCAGTTGAAACTATTTTAACATTAAACTGCACCACAGTAATTTTGCACGTTTACACACAGTTATTTTTAAGGCAAACACAGAAGAGCATTGTTGTTTTGGTCCCTGTTGTACAGGCTGTTGTGTAAATAAACTATGAAGAGACTTATCCTATTCACTCATCTTTATAAACTACATGAACTGCGCTTGGTTTGCTTGCTTCTTTCTTTATAAAGTTAACATTTTCAGACTAAAGCAGCAGCAAAAGACTCAATCCAAAAACATACTTCTGCAAAACAGCCCCATGTTGCTATGCTGCAAAAGCAAGATGCTACTTCTAAGGCATATTTAACATACTCTTTTACTTTGACAAGATACTATGTGATTTGGATTGCTTCAGCTGAATTTTGGAGTAGAGAGCTGGTAGATGAATAAGCTTAATTAAAAATACTTATTATTGGTAAAAATCCCTCCCGCATTCATTAGCTGTTTTGGATGAACTATGAGAACAGCCTCCAGAATAAAACATGAACATTTCTTGCTTACTGTTTGCTGCAGCGTAGTCTCACATAATCAAGTCATCCTCAGCAAGAACAGTTTCACAGGAATCCAAGAACTTTAGCAGATTAAAGCTAGTTAAAAATGTAGCTAATAGAATATGAAATTTATTCTTCCAGGCCTTCGTATTTAAAATAAAGTCTTAATTTACAACATTAACTGTGTTATCATTAACTCAATCCAAATCCCACTACAGAGGATCCCAATCCTTCTCCTTTATGCCTGCATCCTCAGACCAGTGAAAAATGTTCTGCAGGTAGCATGCTGGAAGTTGAGAGCATCTTAGCACAAATCATGTCTTCATCATGTTTGACGCAACTCTGAAAGTGGAGTATTACACTGTTGATGATAGAACATGCTTCAGACTTAGTTGTATTTAATTTAGACAGACATATGGATTATAGGTGAGGGGGGGGTGTTAAATTTTCTTTCATTTTTACCTTCAGAGCATTTGCCTGTAAGTGATGCAATAACTGAAGAATCAGTTTAAAGCTCAGTGAGTATACCCCACCCCATGAAACATCAGGGCTGGTATTTAATTCAGTCATGAAGGCATGGAAATGAGCATAATACCAGGGCGTGGGCCTTAATCTTTATGCTTCATTGTACAATATGTGGGCCAAAAGAAGAAACTACACAGTAACGACAGCACTGAAAAAGCCTTTTAAGGGTTTGAAAAAGCCTGACAGTGCTTTAAATAGTAATAGTTTAAAACAAAAATTGTAATACAGTGCACAGAAGATTCTAATTTTTTAACATTTGCTTTTATGCCAGCGTCAGTGGAGGAGACAACAACGTTGTGACGTTTTCTAAAGCTCAACGCCATGATTCTAACAGGAAAAAGGCCCACTAATAAAAACAATATTGAGGAGGTTAAGTAGATAAGCAATTTCCTCTGTTGTTAATTTTTAAGACTGGTTTGGTGCCATCGACTATGCATGAACTGATTTCTAATGCAGTTACATCCTGTCTATACATAGTCCAGTTTCTTCTATACTCTTTTTGTGAAGCTTAATCCACCACAGAGCTTGGGAAATGCTTAAAGAACACAGCATAGATTATCTTGGGAGACTTATATTCCTTATAAAGAGGATGGAACAAATAAATAACGCTGTCTTTCTAATTTGGAGGATACCTACAGTTCTATTTACTGATTTAAAAGGCCACAACTGGGAAATTTTCAGTGTACAGGGGAGAAGCGTAAAGGCAAAACAGGATAGTAAAAGGGATTTGGATCAAAGACAAAAAATGAGAAATTCACCTAAATGTATTAGAGAAACTGTTATTCTGTTAAGAAAATGAAGCCCGGTTCATATTAAATAATCAGGGTGTAAGAGAGCCTCTATTGTACACAGAACTTCTATGAGGTGAACTGTTTTACTGAACTGTTATAATGCAGTATTGCAGGATGCCAGTAGCTGAAACCATGACACGTTTCTGTAATGTGTCTATTTAAGGAAGAACTCCAGAAAAAAAAGAGGAGGGGAGCACTAAGGACAGCAGGAGTAAATAAGGCCTCGTTGTATCAGCTCTTCACCTTCTCCTTCTAAGGCTGTGAAAGCAGGAGACCTGCCGTCTCTCTCCCTATAGCAGACAGCTGATAGGGAAAAACGTTAAATACAGATCATATTTTTACTGCCTGTAGCCTGCAATGTAGGAGAGAGAATTTAAATATTCACCTTTTTTTTCTGCCGGATAACATTAGCACTGCACATTGCTGTTTCAGAAAAGACAGTGGCTATTTATATCCCATGGCTAAAAAGCCAAAGGTACACACATGCTCATATTTTCAGATATGACTGTGCAATTATTTGCACAAACATGCCTTTATCTCCACTCCAGCTGTGCAAGGTCCACTCGAGTTTTTTCCACATACAGCAATATGCTTACATGTATGCCTTCTTACTCTTACAGTCACTTCACATATGGTTTTGAAGATGTGGGAAAAGATCAAACCACAGTGAACATCAATCATTTACAGTAGTCCCCGCAGTTCAATGAGTTAGTTCACCTTGAGCCTGCTCACATAACATTTAGGAGGGCTGAGGCAGCCTTCAGAGCAACTGAAGATGCATATATTTAACAGCAGCCATCTTGAGCACAGATATTCCTAGGCATGTAGGTGCCCAACCTCCACCAAAACGAATGGGAATTGGACATCGAAATGCCTGTGAGGACCTGAGACTTTGTCCATCCTGCCTCTGGGATACTTGTTTTCTCTCCAGCTCCCTCTGGTGTCCTAAACAACACATTATCATCAACTCACTGCACTGCACTATTGATTTTGCAACAAAGCACTAGATGCTACATAGGCATCCCCCGTGTCCTTGGATACACTGCCTAGTTGCATTCACATGCAGTGTAGAAACCTTAGAGAGTGGCTGAACTGGCACTCAGTGCTTTCCAGGATCAGAACTGAGGCTTGAGAAAACACTTCAGAAACAGCACCATTTTACTAGCCTTAGCTGGCACTGAGGATGGTTACTGAAAGGGAAGATTTACAGAGCACTAGCACGGCCTCTCTTGAGAAACAATACACAAGAAGAAAATGCTCAATAAAAACATTACTTTACAACTAATCTTGAAGACATTCATTCAGAGAGGGAAAAAAAATCATATAAAAAGCTTCCTCCAAAAGCGTTAAACTGGCCAGGAACACTGTCTCCACAGTCTCATCAATTTGCAATTGCTAACATAAAAAAAAAAAATTATACTCACCATCTCCAGGCACTGACATGAAATGAGCATCAACCCGTTTTTCATCCTCTCCGTACTCATTCTTTGCCAGTAAGGTATAAGCACCATTATTCAGGTGGGTAGGATTGTCCAGCTGAAGGCAGCCATGGTATTCGCTTTGATTGATAACATGTATTTTAGTACAGATGTATTCAGACTCATTCAGTATAGCCCCTTCATAGAACCACTGCAATGTGGGCTTAGGGTTCCCTTTCACAGTGAATGGAATACACCAGTGGTGGTCCGGGGTTGGAGATTCAATAAACGTGATATTTGGTGCAACTATATTGGAAAAAAGAGTGAAGAACATCAGAATATTCTGAACATGTCTTTCCTCCCTTCCCTCCCTCCCCACAAAGTTATCAGGGAAGTCTTTTTCATTCATCAGTACAAAAGTATGTTATTAGTAGGAATGATACCTATTTGGAGGATACTCACACAGGAACCCACCTGCTCTGCCTAGGGTACAATGCTCACAACTGAAATGAAGCCGTTCTTTAGAAAGAAACAAAACAAACTAGTTTCAGATGAAGACTGAACACCTGTTAAAGCACTTAAACCATGTAAGGTGTGGGAAGTTCAGTTACTGGATCACTGAGAAGGGGGAGAGAGACAGTTTAGCTTTACTCTGCTGAAAAAATGGTGCAGAGGAGTGCTGAAGGAACACAACAGTATTGAAAATATTTTAAAGTTGGCCAAAAGCAAGTAGTACTGGAAACATATTCAGCTAGGGATCCAAACTTTCAGATTATTTTCTTCACAGAATCAAAGCCAGAACAGATGACTTAATTCCCTGGATTCTTCTGTCGGGAAGACTGTTTTCTACTATACATTTTCACATTCTTTGTTCAAACCTCCTAAATGCCTCAAGTTTACAGATTTGTTCTGTTTCCCTCAGGAGATTATTCCAACACTTTCCCCATTATTTCACTATTGGGAAATTTTCCTTGATATTTATTATTAACTGCATCCAATTTCATCTAGTTACACTCCCTTTTACCACGCATAGCAGGGCCAAGCTCCAATCTCATTTACACTGTTCAAACATTTCTAGTTTACGTCCCTTCCCACAGCTATTACATATCCAATTTCAACCTACAAACATACATCTACAGTGATTTTTCTAGTTTACTCTGTCATGAGCACATGCTGAACAAAGTTTGCCATCTACAAAGCGTTCCATTCCCATCTTCAATTAAACAGAGGGTTGCAACTTGTGAAAACATGCTGTCTAGTTCACATAAAATGAATTCAAGCTGGAGCTTAGATCTAAGAAGCCAGTGCCTCTGCACTACGTGTCCCTTCCCCCTTCCTTGGCCTGGACAAGTAACTATATTATTCAAAGCTATGACAAATAAATTTACATCTGGCAGTACGAATGTTGCAAGTGTGTTATTTTTTGAACAAAGCAGTTGTTGCTTTAGATAATAGGAACTTAAACATTGTAGTCTCTTATAATTAATTCTATGAGCCTTTTGATGCCTTCACACTTCTTAATTCCTAAGACAGTGTGTATGTACATGCACATCATTATAAACCTTCCCATGCTGACAGTGCCACTGAGTGTTTTGGTTTTCAGACCTCTACTTACATATCGCTCTAACTGGAAGATAAAGCATTTAGAAATACATTTTTTGCAGAACGCAGGGCTGAAAAAGATAAACACAACAACTGCTGGTTGGGCTACTCCCAGCATTAACTGCAGTAGATAGTTCACATGCCTTAAAAGTTTTTGTTTCAACAACCTGCATGCCCAAAAAATATTTATACCCAAAACAGTTGCTGCCAATGCAGTTTGGCCTCGGGAACTGTATAGAGGCCTGCGTACGTACAGAATACCGTCAGCTCAGCAGAGGCTTGGTCCTCTCCCACAATGTTCTCCGCTACGCAGGAGATCCACAGTCCACTGTCCATGGATGAAACATTCTTTATGGTTAGCGAGGCAGGGTTCTTACTTGTGTCACTCTGCAAGCGATCAGAAAAACAAGTATGTGTCAACTGCAGCATAAAGAACAAAGAAGAGGGAGGGAATCATTGGCCACAGCTAAATGGCATTTTTCATTCTCCCTTCCTTTTAGCTGTATCAGTCCACAATTAATCAAAGCCTTACTTTAGTGTCTTGTCCAAACAGACACAAAACACCTACAGAACCAATTATAACCATCAGTGGCAGTGGATTCAAAGCTCCAAAATCCTGCTACAAACACTGCACTCAACCATTTTTCAGTCCTGTCACTTTCAGTTTCTGCCTTTTCTTTAAACACTTCTTCTCCTCTACACAAATGTTTTTTTCTCTACCCATACCCTTGCTCATGCCTCTCTTCCACTTCATGACTCATTTCTATGGTCTATCCTACTCCCCTTGAACTTTTCCTTCCCGCCTATATTCTGTTCAATCCTTGCTCTACTCTTCCTTTTGTCTCTTTCCTTTACACTTACGAAATCTCTTCCCCTACTGCCTTCTGGGCTCTACTGCACCTTGACAACAATGTGTCTTCTCCCTCCTGGTCATCCAAATTTCTCTTGAAAGCATCTTCTTTACTGAAAGAGTGGTTAAACATTGGAACAGGCTGCCCACAGAAGTGGTTGAGTCCCCATCCCTGGAAGTATTTAAAAGACGTGTAGATGTGGCACTTAAGGACATGGTTTAGTGGGCATGGTGGTGTTGGGTTGATGGTTGGACTCGATGATCTTAGAGGTCTTTTCCAACCTTAATGAGTCTATGATTCTATGATTCTTCTCATGAACCCTTCCACAAGAAATTACATACCTTCTACTACCTAAGCTACTGCCCAAGTACTGTTTTATGTGTTTAAGCACAGGCTAATTAAGGTAAGGATTATGATTCTTAGAAATCCTGATTCTTATGATTCTGAGAAAGCTCAGTGCCCATTTACAGCCTTAAATGCCATATTGAATATGCAGCTATGCAACACTGAATAAAGAAATACGGCTGAGTTACAAAAAAAAAGCAAGCTAGCAAAGCTAGTTGTTAAAGACTCTTGTTTTCTTAAGTCAGGTCCTTCATAACATCTCCAAATAATTACTATTTCCATACTTGAATTTTTTATAAAATGCGAGACTATTTTCTTAAGAAGGAAAGGAACCAAAACACATTCAGAAGATAAACAATAATTAGGATCATTTTTAAAAACTACTTTTGAGGTACTTTTCTTAGTGTACACATACACTTCAGTGCTGCACAGAACGAAAACAAGTAACACACTGCATCTGTAAAACCACAGTAACTTTCAGTGGCAGCCAATGGGGACATGCGGGAACACTCCTGTATACAGTCCTGTGGGACCAGAATTTTGAACCTCGAGATGACACCTGAACTCCACTTAAGTTAAATGTCCCTTTGATTTCAGTGTGACACTGGGGGAGGTGAGTGGAAAAGCAAACACGCCATTACACATTTCTCTATGTGCAGCTCACAGAGGTAAGCAGTGCTCAAAGCTGGACTGAAAGCAGAGGGGCACAATCGCAGGCTCAGGGCTGAAATCTAGAGCAAGAAAAATCTAACCAACATCAGTCGGATTATACATCAGCACAGAAACTGAGAGCATACAGTTAGCTTTGCGGGACTAGAGTTTAGTTTTAACTTTTGTTAATGTCTCTCTGTAAAACAGGAAAGAGAGAGAAAACAGGCAAAAGCAGCATAGGAGGTGAAGAAAAGGGAGGCAGAAACTGAGATATGGAAGTGTCAGAAAGGAAACCAAAAACAACACTCACAGAAAAGGGAAGGATAGTTGTGAATGGCAAATGAGGTTTAAAAGGCGCTCATTCTTCTGCTACTGAAAAGACTACTGTGCTCCATGGCTAAGGTTGTAGCTAGCCTATATTATAAGCCCCTCTGAAATCTCAAGATGAAGTTATGCCAGGACAGAATATTTCTGGAAATCTTGAAGCAAACTGACCATGGCATTTCAAAGATAGGAGGGTTAAAAAATGTGGTGATCTCACTTTCTGAACAGCATCCCACATTTGTTTTGGCTCGTAACTCAGAAAAAGAAAAAAAAAAAAAAAAAAAAAAAAAAAAGAAAAAGAAAAAGAAAAAGAAAAAGAAAAAGAAAAAGAAAAAGAAAAAGAAAAAGAAAAAGAAAAAGAAGAAAAAGAAAAAAGGCACAACTTGGCATAGGTTCCCCAAACTGTTTTAATTTCTTGTTCTTGATGACGACTGATACCTTTGGGTAGTTTTACAGATTAGTGAAAATTTTAAAAATAATACTAGAGCTCTACAGAGCTCTTACTTACGAGAGCTGAAAGACAGGCAAGTCAAATTCTGTACAGGCCTGATATAATGACCTCAAGGAAGAAAGTACAAAGATTACGAGACCCCAGAGGTCCTGTCTCTTCAGCACTACAGGAACAGTTTTGGAACTACACATCCCGCACTTTGTACAGACCAGGAAGCTTTAGGCAGTCTGCACCATCATGAATGTAGGAAAGCCAATGCCGTAAAATTGTAAATAACAGAGGGCCTTGCCCACTGTGTAAATAATTGCAGTTTAAGAGGTCAGCAGCTGCATGTTGAAGATATGCCTATATGCCTGTCCTTATCAACACTTCCATCAGAAAGAACTTAATCATTCTATCTCCAGTGTGCACACAGTCTAAAGTAGGGACACAGAACACAAAGATCTCAGAAAACAAAATTCCCCCTGCCTAGATGATTTTATGGAGGAAACATCTTCATACTTCGTTAAAAAAACTTGCCATTCTTTTTAGTAAAACCTTCACTTCATTTTCCAAGGCTTCCTGTTGTTGTTTTGTTTGTTGAAGGAAAATTAAACAAGCCACAAAATATTTACAATCAAATTCCAACACACCGAACTTTTGGCATGAAAATATAATAAAATTAGAGACACAAAGCTTTTTTCATGCTTAGGGTTGATTAGATTTATTCTCTGTAGGCAGATATCAGTGATAATAAGAAAGCCCTTGTGTTTCAGTACCGTGATCCACATTACTCCCAAAAATTTACAGTACTGTCATTTACAAGTGAACATCCAAAAACCAGAGTACAAAACAGGGTCTCGAGGAACGAATGTCTGTCATTCTCCAAAGTACTGTGGCAGTCACCCTGGACTGAAAGTAACTGAGAAATAAATGTAATCCCAACATTAATTTTTTATTTCATCTTTTTAATAAAAAGTTAACTAAAGCTGGACATGAACCTTCATTCCATCCTTCAGCAGGTATCTCCCCACTCTGAATTGTCACGTATTTGAATATGAAACTTACCTCATGATTTGAAACAAGATTAGTGAGCACCCAGGACACATTAGGGGGTGGCCCGCCAGTAGTATCACAGTACAATGTGATGCTCTTTCCTTCCACCACAGTGATGTTGTAATTGCTTAAGTTTGCTGAGGGCAAGTCTGCGATAGAAACAACAAAAAAAAACCCACATGTATTTGCATTTGACAGAAATAGATACCACTCAATTATAAGCAAGCTGTATAAATGCAAGCAAAAATACCGCTAAATCAAATATTCACTGTGGTCAGTTACTATTGAATCAGGGAGTACAAACAGCATCTTTGGAAACACAGAATCTTTAAGCCACTACATAACATTTTTCTGTGCCTCCTCCGCTTCACATCCTAAGAAAACATTACTGCACGTGGAAATACATTAAGGTAATTATATAGGCAAATGTTTCAGGCGGGCAAACAGAAGTTATCCTAACTTCAGTTTTTAACTTTAAAATTAAAAAAAAAAACTTCCCTTATTCTTTAAAACAGGAAATTTATCTGCCTCTTTGTAACAGCTGCAAAGCACCTCTATTTTCCACAAACTGACATTGTGGTATTCCCCACTGTTCTCCGCAACACTAACAGGAAAATCCCATTAGCTCCCAGTATCACACAAGAAATTGCAGCCTTCCCTCTCATACAAGGACACAGCTCACAGAGAGCAAGGCAAAACCTAGATCTCAAGTACAAAGTGAGGGAAACAGAGCACTGAACAGATCAAACCAGAGGAGAGAAAAGACAACAGCAGACTTAGCTATTGTCCTCAGGAAAGCAGAAAAGCAGTGAGATGGTACCACTCACCAGGAAACAAGCACAGATTTTGCAAGAATCAGGACTCCCCCTCCATCTCACAGAGCTACAAATCACTCTGTATTTCATTCTTCAGCACTCAAAGCAATGGGAGCTTCCCAAAGAGTAAATATATGCCGAATGCTTACAAAACCAGAAGGAATTACAGACCGACCCTCTTCAAAAATAATGCCAGCAATATCAATAAACTTCAGGCACAGAGGACCTCACATTTCATATTTATTTACACAGCAAATAATTATGCAACATGCTAGAAATATCAGATCTTTCTTAAAAGATACTGTGTCATCATTTGGAGCTGCTACACTCTGTAAACAGCCTTGGCCCCCTTTATGAGGCATTTCTCATCAACTGTTCCAGGAAAGTTTTACTTGCAATTTATCATCTCAAATAATGAAGCTTATCTGCTGTGCTGGATATGTATGCATGATCTTGCAGTGACTTTTCTTTTTCTGAAACAACAGTTTTGGGTTTTTTTGTTTCGCTTTTTAGTTAAGGTTACAGTAGTTTCATCGTGGACTTGCGGGTACAGAAGTCTAGCAGAGACTTTTTTGCTTCCGTAAAAAGTCCCATACAAACAATTAACCATCAAATCAGTGTGAACACATTAATAAGTTTGCTAAAACTTCAATAGAAGCTATATGTATTGGAAATCTCCCTTTAAGTTTAATTAGTTCAATAAAATTAAATGAGAGGAAGTAATACCAAAGAGAAGACAAATAATTTTCCAGGCAATGCTTCCTTGCCTAATAAGATTTGAAGATCAGCACGACTATACAATAACTGCTTAGGCAATTCTCCCAGTGCTTTAAGTAGTGCTGTAATACGATTCCCGTTACAGGCATCATGGATTTCTTCTATTATGTTCACTTTATAAATCATATGTTGAAGTTTATTGAGACAGAGCTGGACAGTTTGTACGCGTTGATGCAGTAATCTGTTAGCGAAGGTAGCCATCTGCTCTCGCCTGCTGTGAATTCAAATCTCAGCAGTGTCTGTCAACTAGCTGGGCAGGAAATAAAACTAATCTTAGGGAACATTTGGATATTAATTATGCTGGTTAGGGAACAAGGAGAGAAGTAATGAGATCATTTGCTTTATAAAGTTATACTTCCACACCACCTCTGAAAATTATTCCAACTACTCTTGCCAGACCTGAACGTGCAAAGAGATTAAAGCTCTCCACTTCTTCCTGGCCCTAGTACTTGGAACAAGGGCTACATGACAGATTAGCATTTCACTGTGCAAGCCTGCACAGCTCCTACTAACACATTATTTCACATGAAACCTCTCATGTAAGCAAAAATAAAAACAACTTTGGTCCCTTAGAGCCCTCCTTTAATAGCTGTTAAGTTCTGAGACAACTTCTTCCTGCAGTGTTTGTTTACAGAATAGGCAACTGAAGTTTAACTCCTCTGGTACTGGTTCTGGTTCCTACCCAGAATTAGATCTAGTTCCGTTTATTTGCAAAAGTTTGCACGTGTCATGTTGGTGTTATATCACTGAGGGAAACAGCTACATCATGCTCGTATCCTGCCAGAACATTATACAATAATAGTGCTTGCTATTCTATAGATTCCTAAAGTTACACTAAAAACCAGTTGCAAGACCTGGCAGAAAACATTGCAGCAAAAAAGGATAACTAGAGTAGAATAGAATAGAATAGAATAGAATAGAATAGAATAGAATAGAATAGAACAGAGTAACAGAATAATCACATTATTGTGTGTGATTTCTTCTACTTCCTTTCCCAGTCATAAGAGGTGGGTGGGAAACACATAGAAGAATTGCCTTGGGATTCATTTTTTCTGGTTGGATTTCTTGAGTTAGTGAATTTTAACCGCAAGGTCATTTTGGCTTTTATTTCCAGTGGCACCCACCCTGCTCCACAGCAGAATACACACTAGTTGAGAAGTGGCTCTGTTTGGAAAAAGCAGACAGTAGCGTAAGACCTCGTCTCTAGAAAATGTGACACACTGGACTTACCAATAAAGCAACGTGACTAAGCAGCAAAACCTGCACTGAAAAATAACTGTATTTAAAAAATCACAATGCACCCTAACAGACACATATGCTCAGTATGTATGCTCAGCATAGTGTGAGACCATTTATACGAGTCGGCAGCATTTTGACACCTACACAATTAGGAAGATATCCAACCATGCTGCATTTACTCCTGACTTAATTTGTTACATGCAGGGCTTTAGATGACTATCACTTCTGTTGATACGGATGTACATTTTAAAGGACTTTGTACACAGTAATTGATACAAGCAATCAGAGAACAGGTTCAAATACTTTTGTATACTGCCAGCATAGTAAGTTTAGACTGTAGCATAAGAGCCCATGCAAGGTAGACATGACATCATCTTTCCACAAGTCTCATCTTGCTATCTGTCAGACAGAGATTACCCTGTGCCCCAAAGCTCGAAACACAGTATCTCTTTCAAACTTTGACAGCATTAATTATTGTAATTCTGGATATCAGTAATAAGCCTGCTAGTATACAATTTCTTTCTTAAGTTTGTTATTTTCTTGGCCTTAATAGCCTTCTGCAGCAATGAGTTTCACAGGTGTACTGTCCAGTCTGCATACAAGAGCCATTCCCCTTTACCAGTTCTGAAATGTGTCTGTTCATTCAAATTCATTGAGTGCTCTCCTGTTCTGACGGGACAGAGAAAAGAGAGTTTCTGAATGATCTTCTTCAGACCACTCTGTTTCATTTTGTTTTCTCAAGTCCCCTTTCTTCTCAATAATCTATCCAAACCTTTTCAATCTCTACAAAAATGGGAGGACAGAACCTGCTACTGAGAATTTTAAACTGTAACATAGAGAGTTACGCAGTTCAATAGACAAAAGCGTCCAATAAAATCCACGTGTTTCATTATGTATGGGTGTATAACAGCTATGTTATTTCACCACATACAGAGTATCTGTTCTCATATTCAAATTGGTAACACTTTACTCCCGGGAATAGGCAGCTCTGGATTAGAATAAGCAGTCACTTCCCTCACCCCAGCACAACTGCACACAACAGAGACAAGCAGGAGGAACTCATTTATGTCAGCTGAGTCTCTCCAAATACCATCTCATGCTTTAGAAGGAACAAACTATTTACCTTCACAGACCATCATTAGTGCAAACCGATGGCCCAAGGCCATCGCACAGTGGAAGTGTTAAGCGTCACTAGAGAATGACTCATATCTTCACTGTGCACAGCTGGGACTTCAGCAATCACAAAACCAAATACTTTGGATGAAATTTTCAAAGGTTACTACAGCATTTGGCTACACAACTGTCAATGGAAATCAATAAAAAGAATGCGCCTAAATTCCTTGAGGGCTTTCAAAGTCTTCAGGCTGCTACTTACTACTTTCTACAGAAAACTTACACTGACCTTGGTAGAGCCAGACTGTCAATATATGTCAAAGGAAGGATATGACCTAATTAAGAAATAACTGAGTATTAATACAGACTCTGTAGTCTGTAACTCAACTCTCAGCGTCAAGCTAGCGCTCTAGCCAGTACACTACAGCAACTTTTAGAAGAAGGTGGTCTTATGCAAGGAGAAAAAAATCCACCATTACACCCAAGATGTTGTTTCACTGGTTAACTATCTTCACAGTTACAAAAAATTAGTCACAAAAATGATCAGGGGGATGGAACACCTCTGCTATGAAGAAAGGCTGAGAGAGTTGGGATTGTTCAGCCTAGAGAAGAGAAGGCTCTGGGGAGACCTTATCGCAGCCTATCAGTACTTAAAGGAGGCTTATAAAAAAGATGGCGGCAAACTTTTTAGCAGGGCCTGTTGCGACAGGACAAGGGGGAATGGCTTTAAACTAAAGGGGGTAGATTTAGACTAGATATAAGGAAGGCATTTTTTACGCTGAGGGTGGTGAAACACTGGAACAGGTTGCCCAGAGAGGTGGTGGATGCCCCGTCCCTGGAAACATTCAAGGTCAGGCTGGACGGGGCTCTGAGCAACCTGATCTAGTTGAAGATGTCCCTGCCCATGGCAGGGGGGTTGGACTAGATGACCTTTAAAGGTCCCTTCCAACCCAAACTATTCTATGATTCTATGATTCCAGATTGATTTTTTCAGCTTCAACTTTCATCTGTTCAGTTCTGGGATTTGTTCAGCTGCTCAAAATCCTTCACCAAAAAAATTCTCTCAATATGGTCAATTAGCCTCACTAATACCTAAGAAATGACATGATGAAGAAATGAGCACCTTAGAGAATACCATAAATCCAATATTGCATTCATTTATGCCATCCTTTGCACACCAAGCCCCTGATTTTCATCAGCCTGTC